TGCCAAAAGAAATGAATTTATTTTTTGAACAAACAATAACTTCAGCGTTTGTCTTCGCCGACGCTGGCTTTGACGTATGGATGACGAACTGTCGCGGCACGCCGCCCTCACAGAAACACATCGGTTATGGACCAGATGATTCACGATTCTGGAATTTCACGTAAAATCTCTTTTCGTCCTAATTCGTTCATTTTCGTTCAATCGCGAGAACGTACAAAAATAATCGACGTAACAATACCAAAAAAATTGGAAAAAAACATTAGGAGCAACATTGCAGAGTTAAGGGTAGTAATATCGCGCAAAACGTACGATTATCGATTACCAGAACGATTATCGATTTTCAGATGGCAAGATATGTCAACATTTGATTTGACCGCCTCGATCGATTATGTATTGGACCATACAAAACAGGTAAGTGATAAACAGTGTTAGTATTGGCGGTCCCCTTAATTTTCGATGAGTTTGAGTGAAAAATAAGCATCGTTCATCAAATCTGCAATAAATACATGCTGAGTGGACGGGTTTACAGCCCGTAGCAGGGGTAGGAACCGTAATATTCCGCACTGGTGGGCGTGGCCAGCGAAGCCGCGCTCGACGGACGAATTGTCCTGCCTAGCCGTTCGAATAAGAGTCAGAAATATGGGAAAATTTGACACTGCCCATCATAGAGCCTCGTCTTTGCTTGAAATTCATGGAAGTTTCGCCGCTCTAATCGACAAGCCGATGGACATTTGCGCGCGTGACCGCACGACACGCCGCGCGCGGTGACGCGACAAATTACTATTGTGTTGCACTACTCGGAAGGAGCGCTGCTCTCTTTAAAAATCGTGCACAACTTAATGATGTAATGATGTGTTCCCAGAACGGGAGTACTTCCCGTTCACCCCTGGATCAGCTCGACCAGGCCAACAGAGAGGAAAAGAGAAAGGGAGGGAGAAAGAGAGAAAGGGAGGGGGTAGGACTGAGTTTAGGGGGTAACAGTAGTGCCCTCCCCAGGTTTGAGCTCATGCCATTTTCTTCGTTCTACAGCTTGAATTACTCATTTTATAGTTTGAAAAAATGCCTCAAAACGCTGCTTTTCCAGGAAAGCCTCTACTTTATCGGCCATTCCCAAGGAACCGTGCTGATGTTCGCCAAGCTCGCAGAAGATCCCAACTACTCTAATAAGGTGAATTCATAGCGTTTAGACACCCTCGGGTCCATAGAGCCTGCCTTGCTGACTTTGGTGCAGGTCAGGACATCCGTTCCGGCTACGTGAAGAGACCAAGTCTCGAGTAGCGTGCCGTTTCACTGGACGTCTCGGCAGTGCTGGACCACCTGGAAGCGGTTTTGCCTTTAAGGGCATTGGGACGGGAATAAATCCCCCAAGCGCGACTAGGATCAATACTCCTGGCAGGATAGAATTCCGCGACCCTGGGCAGGCGCTGCATAGCGGTTTCCCCGAGGAAGGTGCCCTTATAAGGGCCCTATCAAGCCACAACTTTACGTCCCAAACGCCCGCCACGCCCGGGAACATGGACGACCCTTCATGAACTGCGTATTGGGTTAGTTGCAAGAAGCGGAATTATGAAGCTAATGGGATTGTAAATGGAATGCCTGCATCAATATAATATGGGTACATATGCAGCCGTATTGCAGCCCGTATTCGGTAGCGGTGATTGGCAAGATGCCTACGGGAAACTCGTCCGAAATCGATTTACAAGTCACTGAGAACGGAGGCTTTTTCTTCGCAGGATTTTGACCGTTTCACTCCGTTCTTTCGCCATTTCCCCCTATATAGCGCCCTACTAGCATTTTAGGCTAAGTAGGAAACCATCGTGCCAACTGCCTTTAATTCACGCCTAAAAAACCTCAGCCTCTATTTTCCAAGAACAAATGCAGTCGTTGATTCAACCGATTCAGGATCGTCAGTTTCACGCGCTGGCTCCAGTTGCGGACAGTTTCCCATATTGGAGGACTCTTTCGATTATTCGGCTACCGCTTGGTAGATCTGGCTAGGGTCAGTTGTGGTTCATGACCACTGATTGTGATGATGTGTTTCATGTTGATTGATGACCAACTAAATGATCCTAACAAGAGATGGAAGCTCCTGTATCGTGCTGGCAAGGAGGTAGAGACCAGGGCTTAGGTATTTGAACTTTGCGAGTGCGTTATATGATTTCACCATGATAGCGCTCTCGTCAGGGGCTGTTCCACCACTTTTTATCCATTGAAACGTTTCGTAATACGCATGACCTAAGTAGTTCGAGCGCTGATTCGGCTTAGAGGGGGGGATGGGTCAGCACTTGCGTTAGTTCTTGTCGCTAATCTTTTGTAATTAATAGCATTCAATTGGTAGGACGCTGCAGATCTGTGAAAGTACGGAGCTTCATGCCCGATATAGCTTTACAAGGAAATAACAGGGGGCATCATCGAAGAGAACCAGCAAAGTACCCCCACAATTCGAACTGTGCCTACTTCATTTTACTATATCACATTGGCAATCACACATTATCACATCATTCCCTATGTCTTCGCTTCCACCAAACATCCACACATATCACATTATTAATGACAGTTGGAGTAACCCACATCTGCCGGTGTGGCACTAGAATTAAGAACGATTTTCAGTTTTCTTCTGGTGCGAATCCCCTACACCGTCTCCCACACCCCAGCCGCTTGATGTTCCCATGGAAAATTTATACAAAAGAAAGTCACTGAGCTACTTCTGTTAGGTCTGAGTAGGGCGGATGTTCAGTGTTTGCCACATGCAGGCTACTCGACTCTCGATCATCTCCGGAGATGGAGTGGGTGTGACATGTATTCATTTGATTATCGTGGGAAAGGTATTGCGCGTATATCAAGGAGATGTTGTTGCTATCCTCGGGACCACACTCAATCAACAACTTTCGTTGGCCGACCCGCAAGGTAAGATGATAGGGGTATCGGAAATGAAAAATATCCGCAAAAGACGCATCTTGTGCCATGGTTCAACAGAGCACACTGGACCACGCCGTCTTTGTCGCCGCAAGATATGAAGTGCTGCCTCATGTTTTCACCGTGTGTTTAAGTGTACCTCACGTTCTTTCACGTGGTTGATTTTATCGATTGCCAACGGCAGAATATTCCAGTTTACCCATTGCTCAAGGAGTCTGCACATTGGATATAGGTTTCATCGACGGCACAGAGAAGATGTTCAATACGGTAAATCCGTTTGAGGCACTCAGTAGTGATTAATTTCATCGATTATTGGTTTTAGACTCGGGTCGGCACCTATCTCTGCCATATGCCAGCTGCCACCTCGTCAAAGAACATTCTGCACTGGATTCAGGTAAGGGCTCCAGCGAAATTGGCGCCATTAAGAGAGAACTTCGCCGTCTAACGCTCTCTAAACCCACTGTTCTCTTGGTGGGAGGGCGCAGACGAGCAGACTTAGTCGTGCCATCGCTTGCCCCCTCGATTCCAAATAGCACCGCGAAATCTACTCTCCTCCCAGCAGACCTTCCCATTCAATTCCAGGTAGTAAAATCACGGAAGTTTGAAAAGTTCGATTATGGCGAGGAAGGAAACATGCGAGAATATGGGACGGTAAAAAGATTGATGTTTGGTCTTGTTTTCATTCATCATTTAATTGATTTTTTCAGAAAGATCCGTACCATTATGATGTGCGAAAAATTCGTGCGCCGACGTATCTTTACTGGAGCAAAGATGACATCCTTGCCGACACCGAAGATATACGGTAAGGATTATTTCTGGAAAAAAGACTGCCGATAGCCGAGAATCAAAGGACGCCCTGCTAGCTCTGGGTACAAAACTTTTACAAATATTTTCCGAGGCAATAACAGCTACCATCAATATCGAGCAGCAAGAAGCGCTGTTCCGCTAATACAATTGTTCGTGACAAAAATTGATAGATAGAGAAATGTGGTCGTCCAACACTTGCTGCGTGCGGTCGCGTGGCGTAAATAGGAGCTCATCAACGTCGGTACAAAGAGGTGTAGCACCAAGCCTACTACAGAATCTGTAGGATTGGAATTGGATTTTGGATTGGAACAGAATTTGATATTTCAGCCTGGCAGTAATGTTTCACGATTTTCACTGCCGCGACGCGACCGCACGCAAACAATACATTCTTCTTAGTTGAAAGGTCGCCAAAAACTTAAAATGCAGGGCGACGTTTTTATATAGCCTAACCTCTTGTGATCAGATGGTTCAATAATATGTAACAATTTTCAGAGAGGCGATATTAGAAAAGATGAATGAAACGATCCGGGGCAGTTACGAGTTACCGCATTACTCGCATTTGGACTTCATCTATGCACTGAACGCCACCAACGATATTTACCAGCCCATTATCCATCGCATTCGAAAGGATTTTGACTCGCGAAGAATGCTTGTCAATAATAGAATTCATAAATAATGTAATAATAAAGATTTTTGGCAACACATATTGTCCACAAATATACGCCCCATAGCTGGTCGCATGGCTGAAACGCACGCGGTCGCGGCGCGGCGTGATGGCAAGGCGGTCGATCGGCCATGTCGTGCCTCAAATGCGCAGCGCGGCAGTCGACAGGATATCGGTCGGTGAGCCATGCCGTGCCGTAAACGCAAGAAGTAAAAGCGCACCATTGACAAGATACTGCTTAGTGGACTAGGCCGCGACGCAACCGCGCGTGTCTCAGGCCAGATATTTCGAATCTACACGCACTTTTTGAGCGAACTCATTCTCTAATATTTTGGATATATTTTCACGAAACCGATCGATAATACGACGTCACCATGAAAGAAATTCAACAGTTTATTAATGTGAGATTCACAACGGTGTCGAACAATAAAACAAAAGCCAGAAACTGACCAGATTTCGAGTTTGGTAACCCATTTTGGGATGAGTACAGACTAAGACAAAGATAAGAGAAGTTAGGGAAAGAAAGCGAGAAAGTCTGGCAGCCAGCGTACAGACAACCAGACATGCGCTAATCTGCGTCTCTGACATCGGGATCGATAAATGAATCATCAGCGGGGTTTACCTCTTTGGACATACAAGGACACAGTATGTACAAATTGATTAATGAGCGGAATACAAACATATACAATTGGTCAATTAAGTAGATATATTACGTAGGAGATTAGCGACAGGGGGGCGTCGGGAGTGGGTTGTAGTAGTGGGTGTGGGTAAAATTTAATTTTAATAATAGCTAATTAGGTGGTGTTTGAGGCAATTATTCCAGCAACGCTCGGTTCCAGCGGCACGTTTTTCGAGATAGTGTCAGCTCGCGTCATCAGATTCACAGGAATACGATTTAATTTTTCGGTTAAGTGAGTATGTTTTGGATGGTGCAGAGAAGTGATAGTTGTTCCTTGTGAGCACCGGTAACTGATCAAAGGAACGATGCCGAAACCCATGCAGTGTAGAAACACTCAACTGTTTTTTGGTACAACGGACCGATGGACGTGAAAATGATTAGCGCCGCTATCATTTAGATCATAGAGTCCAGATATATGATTTCTGTATGTATTTATGTCTAGATATATGATATATAAAGGCTTTTCTGTGAATCTTTGATGCTTATTCGGATTGTTAGAGTTGTAGGGAGGGGCGAGTCCGTTGTGATGAGCCGCTCGCCTTGGGCGATGAATTTTGCGCAATTCCTTGAGAAGCGGAAGGTAAAAAAGGCTGGCAATCGATAATGGACCGCCGCGAAGAAAGTACTGCATCATGATGGGCACTGAAAGAAAATTCAACCCAATATAGATTTTGACCCGAATGAAAGCGTTTAATTATATGAAATAAATGTCTAGATTCGTATAGCAGCAACGGCACCGAAGCATTATCCTGTACACACTAGAGTTAGTTGCATAGCCGAGACGCGCGCGGTCGCGTCGCGGCAGTGACATGGGCTAGATCGATAGGCTATGCCGTGCTGCAATTGTGCAGCTCGACAGTCAATGGGATAGACCGATGAGCTATGCCAAGGCGAACTGCGCGCAGGGAACCTTGACGGACATCGATGGCTGGACTATGCCGGCCGCGACCGCGCGCGTACCATGCCGCTTTAAACCTAACATCTAGTGACTACTGATTTTGTTATTTGTCGATCCAAATGAAACCAAGATCTTTTCGGGACCTTTTACCGAGCTACTACCTCAGAAACCCCGCCATAGATGTTGTCGAAGCGAATTCCCATTCATTTGCCGACTGGGAGAAATTTGCAAAAAAAGGGCTTATTACTAGGAAAGCCGCCGAGTTCATAAGTTTTGTGCGCCCCCTCCAACTCGCTTTTCTCGTATGAAAAGTCATACATCAAGAAAAGTAGAGTAAAGGAGAAAGAGTGAGGTTAATGACAGAGACGAGATGGAAATAAAATTTACTTCAGAAATGTGGACTTAGAAAAGCTTGTGACGCTAATGGGAGACCGACTATTGCCCAAAAGTGCGACCAGAAGTCCGTAAATTTGGTTATCGATTTTACGCGCCTGAATACCCACTTTAAGATGAGTTAGCTAGTCACTATGGCTTGGATGAAAATGACTAGGGAATACAAGTTAAATAAATAAAAATAAATTTCAGAAAAGTGAGTCATGCATAGTAACTTACAACTTCCGCACACCGCTATCCTTT